GAGGAGGCACGCCAGTGTCGCGTGGCTCGATGAGCTACGAGTGGAGCCCATACGAGTAATGACACCGCGCTCATGCAATTCCCTCTTGGATCTAATTGATTACGATTGGTTGGACGCTCGTAGTAATCGGTCCGTGTACCCTGGCGACAGTGCCGACGGGTCTGCGGTCAAGCAGGACAGCAGGTCCTTGAGGATGGGCAAACGTGACCGTAAGGAGGGACCGGGACTAATTCGTATCTTTGCAATTCCCAACAGCCATGTGGAAGGACGTCATCGGGTAGTATTTAAAGAGACTGCAAAGTACGAGAAACGTGAGACAACTTAAAAGAAAACTCAATGTCATATAAGCAGAGAAAAGAAGTTCTCGCCTGATTCGTTAAGGTGGTCCGTGACGTCAAACGATCTTCGCTCATTGTAAATTAACAGAAGATAAATTCTCCGAGTGCTCTGCGCGGTCCATGGCATTGATACGCGAGCCGACGGAGCACGGGACGCTCACGCGGATAAAAGTTGAACCATAAAAGGCAAGAGAGTACGTGGCGCATGACATAGAATTCGGTGATTGGTCAATGTAAATCAATGAGACTGATTGTTCGGCTGGATGGCAATTGACTCTAGCAATTATTTAATGTGGATATCGGTAAGCACCGTAGATACGTAAGGCGCTTAAGTCTCTCGCAAGGACCGTGGAATCTCCTTGAGTCCATCGAGGGACACGAACGGGCGTCAAGTTTAGCGCTACAGGAGGCGACTTTCCGTTTTCGGGGTAAACGAGTGACTGGAATGACATTTTTTTTATCTGATTCCACCGATACCCCAATTCTTCGCAGTCTCTTTGAGCACGCCTTTTCAATGATCGATACAGCAGGACCATCGCACGTGTCATAATGCGCGACAGAGATATACCTCTGTGAGAATTTGCGAGACGCACGTATCGCCAACGTCACTACAGTGTTAAATAGCCGCGACAAAAGCAACGCAAAACACGAAACATAGATAACGTTGGATAATGTTATTTTCCCAGGTGCCAGCGCGATGGCACCAAGTCGCCGAAGGAGCCAAGGAAACGTGGCGAGGAGACAAGCCACGTTTCGCCATTCGAGCGACGTACGGAAGCTATTAAATATTTTTAATATCGCAGCCAATTCCATTAGCTAATTCCAGGTAGAACGGGGCTTCTACCTGTAGACACAGGATGAAGGGTCTGACTGCTGGGGGTTGCCGTACTTAACGCTTTGTCAGGATGACGTACAATGAACGTGTCTTATAAAGTAATGTAATATAGTTAACGAGAGCCTGAGGTTACTCAATGTCCTTGGCCGAACAATGCTACACGTACGGGATCCAAAGAGACCTCGGAGTCCGTACAGTTTCGTGTTAGTGCATCGCGTTACTCGGTGGACCAACAGTTATTTTCAGAGTGCCAACCGAACCTCCCACGAGGAACGACGAATGCTCGTTAGTAGCAACATTGCTGCACCTTATACCAATGTTTTATCGAGGTAGACGTCACGAAGCGGTGCGCACGATCACGCATCCCATGGACAATTAACATCGCGACACTGTGCGAGACGACTGTTCCAAATCGCACATTGAGTCCAACACCGAGAAACTTTCTTGCGGGACGATACAGACGTGGATACATTATTGTCCTTCGTGAAAGCAATACACCAGGGATTTCGTATATCGGCCGAAGACGGGGATCACCCTGATAAGGACTTCAACTTTTTTTCTGTGCAAGCTTATCAATCTCTGAGAATTAATTTATACAATAATGAGTTCCAGGCAGTTTGACAATACATGTTGTTTCATCGTTTGACTTTAAGCCAATAGAAAAAATTTTGCTATGGTTACCTTGGTGATTCCTGATGGGCAATCGACACGTTTTAAATGGATCGTACCTGGAACCGGAGACCAACGTCACCGTATTAGGAGAAACGTGATCCCTTCTCCTGCCTTCCTATAGCTCTTGGTACCTTATCGATGGCGATTGCCGTCTTTGGCCTTGAACCCGTGGCGTTCTACGGTCTCTACGGTCTACGGTTTAAGATCAGTCGATAGGACTCGATTGTCTTCACTCACTTTGCTGTTTGTAACGTGGTCGGCGGGCACGGACTCGGGAACGGTTTGCAGGGTGCTCCGCATGCTAGCGGACATTGTAGGCCAGCCAGGTTCACTGCCTCAAACCCTCCAACGCTTCGATGATGCACCTTCTCCCCCTACGCCTGAAACAATTTTATTTTATTCGTTTAAATTGTCAGCTTTGCGTTATAGATACATTCTCATCTGCGTATTACGGTTGGATATCAAGTTATCACTAGGTTTACAGTATTTCGAAATTGTTGGGGCAAGATTTATATTATCTGTTTTATGTATATTGCTCCAGCCACAATGATATTCGTATGAGAATACAAAAATGACTATTAAAACTGTACTGAACATACGCGTATGGTTTATAGGGGTAGCTTTTAATTTATTACTATAGGTGTACTGGTATCACCGGTTTATGACTCATTATTCGCTTTGCGTTTAAAGACAGGGCAAGACGCTTTCTCGCTGACCAGACAACGCTTTTAGTACGGGTGGTAAATTAATAAATTCCATTTGCAATGTAACCTTTGATCCCCCTTTAGAAAGTCGAAGGTCACTGTATGGCACTGGCTTTTAAATGTACTTTTTTTACTGTTATTTTCATATGGCTTGTTTTTGATAGGTGACTGGATCTTGAGAGATAAGGAAAGACTTAACAGAATAGAGATGAGAGCTCATCTGTCATTGATATAGTAATGCAGGAATGAGGTTGTTAATAGAGTGCTATTGCTATAATCGTGATTACTTGAAGTACTATTTGTCAGTGTTCATATATGATACTCATTATGGTGTGTACTAACTGCTTTGTGTCTGTATACATGACAATTAAAATGTGGGAGAATTCCTAATATGCATCTTTAAATAATTTCTTATTATGTATTTATTGTCATCACGCTTCACATTTATACTGTTCGGTACTAATTACAGTGTACCGTATAGAATTTAATGAATATTCATTGAATTTATGTTCGCGAAAGCAAGAAATTTCTTGTGACTTTACACCTGTTCAATATATTGTATACATAACCACCAATTTTCACCAGAATAACTTTGCTAGACCTGTAACTGTTATACAAATAACTAAAGTGAAAATTATCTGTTATATAATGCTTATGAAGAATGCAGGAAGCGCTAACTCGACATGATTTTAATTTATTTAAAAGGTTTGGCAAGTCGTTATGTCAAATTTTGATTGTAGGCCTTAATGCTCCTAGGTCAGATCCATATCAATATAACAGATAAGTATATCTGGTGCAATGCCATATCAGATTAAACAGATTTTATCAAGAAACTTTCCATGCCGCATACATGTCTGTGAACACTAAATAAGTTAATATAAAGCTGCAGTATATTCTTAAGAGATCAAATACAGCAGCGAAGAGAACAGTTTGAAAGGCTGTTCCCTTAAGAAATCTAGTATGTGCATATATCCTGATGTCTTATTACCAAATTCGAGCAGCTTGAAAGGTAGACATTAATGTCCTGAATATGAGGTAGCAATGTACATTAGTACTACAATGATATATGAGAGAAAGGTGTAAGGATAAAAAAGATGTGAGGTTAGGAAAAGTGGCCGACGATAATACCGTGGGGGGCTGGTACGGTGGGTAATTTTTAGGCAACGGAGAGGTCGAGAAAGGGACGTTCAAGGATCGAAATACAGTGAGAAGAATCAGAGAGAACTCTCGTCGTGAGTGAGATACCCCCACTCGTTTTTTGGTACTTACCACACGCACTCGCAACGACTCGCGTATAAGTCGAGAGACACACGCGAACGAGAGATGCATACATAGACGACGAATGCGGACACGCTTATCTAACGTTAAGTCGGCAGCGGAGGAGACTTACGCCCAGGCTGACACACGCAGCAAGTCCGAAAGTGGCTGCCCGGATCAGAAATTGAGGCACAAGGGATATCCGTGAGGCGGTAATCGCGGCCCTCGAGGGCGCACACATCGAGAGGCAGAACACTCGGGTGTCCGTCAGTAACCTAGAAAGCGGGCAGCCATTCAGGATTACGGGACTCTGTCCGTCCGCCTGTCCGTGAAATCGAGGCTAAAATATTCCTCGCCGCCGTGATGCCTTAGTGGCCTTTTTCACATTATGTACAGGAGAAAGACACCGTCGTGGCTTTGGCTTATTGTTGGAAACACTTGACGCGACAATGTCGCATCTTTACAGGCTCGAAAAACAATGAAGAGCCCGTGTAATACACGGCGAAACGAACCCACGGTTGACACAAGGCTCTCGCACACCCACCGCAAAAAAAACGAGTACTACTCGCTTTCACCGCACTTTAATGAGCTCTCACTCTGGTGCTACCGCTAGCGACTTTAGAATAAAGGATATTTACCCATTTGTGACAGATTTTCCGATCGAAATGCACCACATTAACAACAGTCCCCCACCTATTACCACATACAGACATTACACACTTCAATTTTCAAGATGGCGACGCCGTCGGGGCGAGACGATGTGGCGAGAGCGCGAAACCGTGGCGCTACTGTCAACCCCGAGACCCGGCGAGCCTTTATTCCGTCCGTGCCAAGAGATCCTTTAGGTGAGAGCCGAGAGCACGCGAACGCACGCCGGACACCGAGTCACAGAATCAGACTCCTACTCCTCCTGTCTACTACTCCTGTTAATACGTTCGGAAACACGTCGACTCTGTTCGGACAAGCTTCAATGCGCTACCACTGCTATCCACCACCATAAGACCCAACCCTCTTTAAACGATCAAACGATTACCATGAACCCTTTCACTGGCGGGAATTTCGGATTTATTCAGATTTACTCCAATCTATTATATCCGTTAAATTTGTTCAACAGGATATTGACTAATATTTTTTACTACTGGGGAATTTCATGGTTTGTAGTAATCAGCTTGATTAGCATTGAAATGCAGAAGGGTCAAGAGAAGAAATTCATTATCCGAATATGCTTACATGAATTTCTTATATTACTGTTAAATGTATTTGTACTCTATTTCAGAACCAAAACAATATATCAGTTCAGACTGTAAATGTGTACAGAGATCTTTCAATCTTGTTTAATCGATGCCGAAATATTTTTGTAGCAGCTCTTCGTATATGTCCTTATCCGTCTTGAGGAATAGGCAAAAGATAACTCTGTCGATCTGAATTTATACAAAATATAAATTAGTTTGTTCATTGCTGCAGACATTCATAATAGATAATATTGTATAGCATGCTAATCTGTGTAAATCAAATATGCAATCGTCTGTATTGACAAATTTGATCAATACATGAAATCTTGATAGACTTTACAATCTTATACGAAATTGCTGTTATTACTAAATATTAATGCATTATGAAATTGTTCTTACACTATCTTCATTCTGAAGAAGGAACTTCTTAACCGTGGATATTGCCACTTTTGCGGCAGGCCGTTGAGGATAACCATAAATTCCAGTCGATATACAAGGAAATGCAATAGTGCGCAATCCATTTTCTTTAGTCAATGTAAGACTGTTTTCATAACATTCACGTAGGTTGTCCGGTTTCTCACCCTGAGGACCCACAGTGTGGATCACATCTGAAGATCCATATTCATGCCTTTATGAAAATGTCCCTTATAGACATTACTTCAATAATCTGTACTAACACTTAGCTGGTAATTTGTAACCCCCTGTAATTTTAGCTTCTCCAACACGACAGCCACCCAACGTCGCACACTCCCGCTTTAAATTCGGCCCAGCAGTTCTGTGAATTGCTCCATCCACTATAACGAAAATATTTGTTTATCTGTATTCTTTCGTCATTTTTATTTCTTGTTTTAAATAAAACCGTCATTTACCACCACCCCCGCCTAGCAGGCTTGAATTTGCAGCATTGACAATAGCATCGATTGCCAAAGTAGTAATATCTCCCTGCCATATACAAATCTTATTAGCCAACTTATCGTCAACTTTTTCAACCTTTTCCAAAGTAGTTATTGCAATGTTGTCCTTATTCTTTGTCCAATATTCAAGCCATGTTGGAATTTGATTGACAGTTGTAATTTCTGACTTGTAGAACTTTTGCTTCTCTTCCAATGGCATACTTAAGAACTTTTCTGCAGACATAAAGATTTTGTTCATTGATTCAATTAAATATTTACTCCATAATATACATGCCACCATTCAACCAACTAAAACCATGTTATAATAACCACGATTGTCATATATATTTAACTTATTACAAAATGCAATTCCATACTTGACACCTCTCACTCATATAATACAGCATTTTTTTTATCTAAATCTAAGCTAATTACTATTGCTATTAAATCTTACGTTTCTCTGCTTCGAAAGACATGCTTGTCTTTGGATGGACAGACGAAGCCCAACAACTTCCAGTATAAAGTTTTAAAGCAAAGCAACGATTGACCACCAAATTTGTAGCAGTATTCAAAAAGATTGTCTGAAAAGAAAAAAGATACGCCTCACCAAGAGATCTCTGTGTAATTACCTGCAATGCTATCTTACTTTTAAGCCCAACATTCTTCTCCAAATAGTACTGTTATTAAATGAGGTCAATGATTAATATATACGCACAGTACAAACGTGACAACCAATAGATCTTATACTTCCGAAATCGCAAAATCGTTCCTTTTTGAAAGTGTCATGCAGAAAGGTATCGTTGTTTTGTTTTTTTGTGTATACAACCCGTCATAAAACGTTATTGTAACGTGTATGAATTATGCCGGTGAGTTTGGAACGAATCCCTACCAATACCTACAATACGAATACCTACATTCATAACCACGATGCAAATAAATTAGGTGCAGCCAACAGCGTATGTATTTTCGTTCTGCTTGCGCAGTTTAATCTTGTCAGAAAGAGCGAAGATTCAAAATTAAACGCAAATGGCCGCACGCAACAGTCAGTGGAAAATAGGGACTTGAGCGTCACGAACATCCATATAAAGAGGAATCATACCTGTTCTTTTTCTTGTTCCTTATGGTTTTATGCCCTCATAAAAGGCCAAGTGCCAGAATCATATTTATTGTATAGCCGGTAACTGAGCTCCACGTAGTAGACAATTACAAACTGCAAACAGGCTCCTACACAATTCAAATTGATTCGTTTCTGACAGCCCATGCATCCACTTAAGAATATTTGCAACAGTCTTTTACGACCACGTATCATATATCTTCCCATGTACATGAACTATCCTAAGGTTTGATCGTAAGTAGTACTTTTATCATGCTTTTCGAATATATTTATTGTATTAAGATTATTATTCAAAAAGATATGTTGAGATTCCTTTTCAAGTGATGAATGAGTAGCGAGAACAAAGCAAATAATTGGACTAATGGAATATGATTTTGGTATCTTACCTTCTACAAAGCTTATTTCATGAGTTATTAGTTATAAAGATAGTAGATAAAGGTTGATACAGCGTATTTTTACCTATTTTTGGAAAAACTTAAGATACCTATTGGACGTAATCTAACGAGAAGTTCAAGTGATGTGTTGACATGCAGTTCTCATAAATTAAATTATTTTTAATAATTAAAATATTACTTTGTATTAAGAGTAGATAATTATAGATCTTTAAATTGATTTTTCTTTAAGTTTATTTATATTTCACTTAGTTTCCGATTTGTGTCTCTATGACCAGTGTAGTCGCTGCTTCCGTGAGGAACGGAGCAGACACAAATGCAAACGGCAAGCCCTGCCAAAGCATTTGAAGATGGCGGCGGCGACGGCCCCTCCAGCGTCCCATCAAATAATTCAAGTAGTGAATGAAATAAATCTAAACAAAATCGAAAGGTAATCCACGGTGATATCTAGTATTGTTTTGATAGTTATAATGAAAATATCAAAGAGAAATGTATGCCTAATTTCACATGTTATATTCTGACTACTTATTGATTTGTTGGCAGTTTTCTAAATGACACCGCGTATAGAGAAGCTATCGAGAATTCTTCCAATTATAATAGTCGACTATGCAGAGAGCGAAGACTTCGAATGCCTTTTCTCGACTCACAGACAGGTAAGAATATCTAAACAAATACAGTATCATAAATAATGGTTTATGCATTAATAATCATTAATCAAATAAATGTCTTGATTGTATTGAATGTAAATATTATTTTAATACTATATTGTGATAAAATGTAAATAATTGCTTGATCTGTTATTGTACAATATTCTCCTGTAGGTGTGGCACAAAATCACTCCGCACTGTTTATGTCAGCAAGAGAACGACTGCCAGGGTTATTACATGGACAAATTTACACATACCCCAGCAAACGATGGAGAAAAAAACGGCGGCAATACTTAATGCATTATCTACATCCAAAACGTGGTGGAAGAGGTGACATTGAAGATGGAATTGATGGTGTCGAAGGAATTCTTCCAGGTGTTAACGATGATAGTAAAGACTCTGGTGCTTTAAAAGGTTAGTATGCAGTAGTACATATATATCTAATATAAGCGTTTAGACACGTAATGTAATATATCGAATATGTTCAAGATGAACACAGTAAAGATGGATGGTACTACGATGACCAAGACATGCTAGACATGGATGCGTTCGATGAGCCAGATCCAGACAGTGACTATGATTATGAGGAGAGTTATAGCAGTAAACGAAAACGAAGGAGACCTCGCGGTGGTGGTCATCATCCTAGTAGAGGGCACCCACCTTCCACCGACAGCCCAGGCACGAAACGTACCAAGGTAAGTCTCGCTATTATGAAAAGTACCATTAATTACGTAGAAAGAGGCGCGAGTAAACACAGTAAAGAAACTCATAATCCACATTGTATCACAAGAGACCAAAAGACATGGGAGATAAATACTCTTTTAGAGACAGACGATTTGATATTCTCTGAAAAAGTAATTATACGGGTGATCAAAATGACATATTAACTTATCAAATCACTACTATATTGATGCAGGGTGGAGGACGTGGTCGCAAAAAAGCCAACTACGATGCCGTTGACTCTGATAAGCCATTCGTTTGTGACCGTAAGTTTAACCATAGATATAACTACAAATGACCACTTCCTATTATTCGATTCATTATAATTATTATAACTACTACTTCTATCATTTATTATTTCGATTAAGTCATTAACGCATTGCGTTGCAAAATTTGTTAACTATATTCTATAATTATATTTTTACATTGTCTATATTAACTTACTTTGCAAGGTACGCAAAGAATATATTATGATATAGCATAAGATGGAAGCTCGAAATAAATTATTGGATACTGTATAGTATAGTATGGTACAAACAAACAAACAAAAAATTAATAATACTGCGTAACATTACGTCAGGGAGTGGAGACCACAGTATAATACGTGATGAGCGATATGAGAATGTGTCCTAAGATTTTCATTTATCTCGAAGGGCCTTCTTTCCGAAGGTTATACTCAATCAATATGGTATTGGCCATTGTGTACCTTCGAATTCTTTTATCAATCTTTTTTTCTTCTTTTAACTTTATATTATCTTCTCCACGTCACAATTGTTCAATCAAATTATTCAGCTTCTTCAGCTCAATCAGATTCTTCTGTTAGGACAGTAAAAAATCAGTACAAGCGTATTTATACAGCATTGTGTTACATCCCCCTTTGTACAGCATCCCTGTATCTAATCGCAATACATAATTCTGTTTATATTCATTGGTATTGCGAATTATTTAATCGTCCAACAAATTCTATGACTTCTGGGCTAAAATAACTATCGAGCAACGACACTATTAACTTTTGGGCAAATTTTTGGTGGTATCAATAATACATCTGGCCTATGTATATACATACACATATCCATACACATATCAAAAGCACTTTTCACGTATCCAATACGTGCGTCATCCTAGTAAATTCGCTATAGAATCATCACAATACTTTATAAGCTTCCTCGCTAAAATCTCGAAGGGATATAATGGTCATTACTTTCTTTGGCCTTAACTTTCAAAGGAAACAGAACAAAAAAAAAGCAAATCTTCTAGATTAACACGAATGTGCCTGCCGTCTGTTTACTTTCTTTTCTTTTTTTTTTTTTTTTTTTTTTTTTAAAAAAA